ATAAAAAACTAACACCAGACTTTAAGATCTTAATACTACAATGGATAAATCTAGGGCATGAGGCAATAATATTAATAGATAAATTCTAGTCATTCCAAAACAGGCACAGACCACTGGCTTACCCATTTCCTTCAGCAAAAAACATCCTATTAAACCACTTACAAAAAACATTCCTAGAGATTTTACTAAGACCAGACCTAGGTTCTAAAACACAAAATGCATTAAGCTTAATTAAACTACAAAGAAACTTAAACTGAGGGACAAAGTCAGGTCTGCCCCACCCTTGCAATTCCAAACTAGGCACCTTATCTGTCAACGTCCTCAACGTTGTAGCTAGCACCGACATCACCATTACCATTGTTTCTACCTCTTTTCCTACTCCCTAGATATTGAATATGCTCATTGTTCTATTCTTCAGCCTCTATGAACTCCTCATCTTCCTCTATTGTATTTTTACCTTTGTCATCATTAGCTTTATTCTCAGCTCCTCCCTCCACAGTCACACCAAAACTTATGTTACAGCCAGACCTCCACTTGGAAACTAAATCCGCCTTCGAAACCCAGGTCTTGTTGTCTCTCACAACATTGTCATTGGTCGTACCATCCCCCGCCAGCATACTTGTTCTTCCTAGATCCCACAGTGTTCTATTCCTCACTCACATTCACCTCCTGGGTTCTATTTTGGTCTCTCACCTCCCGATCCTCCTCATGTTTAGAATTCACATCCCCCCCAATCACCAGTTAGGGAAAGACAAGCATAACCCTCCCCATGCAGCTCTTGCCTAGTTTCCTCACTAATCTCAGCACTAGCAGGGTGAACCAGCGACTCATCATCAAAGAGCTTATCCACCAGTGGCTATTGATCTTTATCTTCAATAGAAGGGCATAAGTGGCCTTCCGTCCTCCTTCGGCCAGAATAGAAGCAGACTTTGAACAACTTCTTGTAGGTCAACAACATTGGGTTTTCGCCTTCATCGTTAATAATCATCACCATTTTCAATGGAAACCTTGTTGGAAGTATGCCCACAAAGCCACTCATTTGATGTAATAGCTTTTGGAATACTTACTGTATTAAACTTTTATATGTTTAATGAAGGGCAAAGCTTATTGTTAATCACTATTTATTGTATCATGTGTTTAAGCAATAAGGGAATCCAAGGAATGTATTTGATCTAAGAGACAAGTGATCTAAGTGAGTTAGATTATCGAGACCATTCTCTTATGTTCATTCCTAAAACGTTCCTAGCCATAGGATTGCCAATTGGGCATTGACAATCCGCTAAGGTTAGTATGTGTTATGTTGACTCAAACGTGAGTATGAACTAGTCTCAAGTCATTTGGTGTTGGACACTAAGACAAACACATAGGTGCTCGAAAAAGGTAATCGAGTACACTGAACGACGATCAAAAGAGAGTTCGAACATACATGTCATGTATGAACTCTAAAGTTGCAATATGCAAAGTAGTCCTTTGACCTGAGGCATCATAGATGTCTAATGGTTAGGTCCTTGATCTTTGATCATGTCAACGACATTCCTTCGGATTGTCCATGACATTTTTGGGGTCAAGCTATCTAGTCATGTAAGCATATGAATGCACAACAAGGGATCTCTAACCTTCCATGGTGGAAGGAGAATACTCTAAGATATGATTCTAAAGTCTTTGGCCAAAGCATATGAATATGACTTAGGAAGTTTGTTCCAAATCATATTCAAAGGAATCATATAGGAAAGTATCACATTGGATAGTAGACATGAAACAAACTATCACTTAAACAATGTGATTAAGAGCATTGTATTAGAGAAGGACCGTATTGCATTGTAGTTGTAACTGGATAGGTTCTCCAACCAATTCTACTTAGCTTGGGTAACCATGATATGCTGCTAGGTGTTACTCATGGTTTGTGGAAGCCCTGAAGATTAGCAAACACTAATCTTAAGGGAGAATTGAAATGTGGTTTCAATTCACAATCGATCGTTAAGAGTAACATCGCCCACTGCCTCGCTAATTGGAACCTAATGGATCGCACACCACATAAGGATGTTAGTGAAGAAATTATATGAAATGGATAAGCAATTAAATGGTTTAATTGAATAATGGTCAAAGTTAATTAATTAGTTAATTAATTATACGAAAGGTTCGTATTGGGCTTTTAAGTTAGTTTGGGCTTCGGGGTCCAAAATTGTTTTGGTCCACTAGGCCCATTATGTTTAAGTTGTATGACAACTAAAACAAATATGGGTATTTAGCCCAATAACAAAAGGAGGCCGGCCATAGCAAGGGTAGTGGGAATTTTTGCTTAATTGCAAGTTTGCCACTAACCTAAGAGATGAAGTATAAAGTCATCTTTATAGCTTTGTTTCTAATTAGGGTTTTCTAATAGAAATTGGGTGAAACATTTTCTCTCATTTTCTACATAGAGGCCGGCCACTTAGAGGATTTTTACTAGCATCTAAAATCTCTCTAAGTCATCCATATCATCTTCACAATATACATCTTTGGTGAAGAGACTTAGAGACATCAAGCTTTTGATGTTTTTGGAGAACAAATCCTTTTTCCTCAAATCATCAAAGGAGCACTAAAGGGAGGAAAACACAAGGAGGATTCAAAGAGCTTGGAGGTGACTTGAAGGCCCTCCACTTGGGTGAATCCCTTGTGTAATCAAGGATGAGCTTCAAGGGTAAAGAATCACTTAATCTTTACTTCTCTTTAATGTTGTTAAAGAGTTTATTTTGGTTCACCATATACTAGGCTTTGAAAGTCATGGGTTTTATGAATTGTTTTTTAATGCATGCCTACTTTAAAGTGTTAATAGCTTGCATGAGTATTCAAATGTTCATACTTGTTCTTAGCTAGGACAAATTTTTTTCCTTCAAACCTAAGATCCACCTCAAGCAACACCCTAACAAATAAACCATTAAGCCTCGATAAAGAATTCTTATCAGCCATAATAAAGGTTCTCACAGGTTGCATGATCACCTCAAATATTTCAGCATCCAAATATTGTACCCGAAGTCTCAGAATACGAACCCAGACTCTAAGATTAGATATCATCTCCACATCACGGAAAAAGTGGTCCACCTCTCCAGGTGGAAGATTTGACCTCGAACATAAAAAGGTATGTTGTCTAACACATACTCAACCTCCTTTTGGTCAGTAAACTCCACTGCATACAATGGTGGCCAAAGTGGTCAAGGTAAAAGGGATTCTTGACCCTCGATCCCCAGGTAAGTCCTAACGTCCACTTAATGGTTCTAGCTTCAATCTGTTTCCCCACAAGCTTTCCCATGAGAACCCTACTCTCCATATGTTCCACAATAAGGCTAGAGTAGAGACAACTCGAAACTTTTGTAACTCCACTCTCAAGAGTAAAAGTACCCGTATGACTCTCAACAATCACAAGAGGTTAGCCAGGCTGGGGAGAAGTGAATCTTAACCCATGATGTTAACTTGGGGCTAGAATGGATCCTAGGATGCCTAGATGATGAAGCTTCAAGTTGGGAGATAATAGTCAATTTGGGTAGTAAGGTTGAAGGCTAAACTTTTAGATGTAAGGCAAAGGTGAGAAAAACTTTCAAGTGCATCCAATTTATAATCAACAAGAAAAGGTTTAGTCACGCACAAAAACCAACTGGAATTTCAAATGACAAATCAAGAAAAAAGCAACACGCAACAACATCTTCACTACTCTTGAACACGCATAAGTAATTAGAGGCAATGATTGATTAAAAAACACACACCCAAGCACATCAACAAGCCACACTTTGCAGGTTAAATTAATTTTAAAATTCTTTAAGACATTACCGAGGTAATAATTACCCTCAAAATTAGCACCCTAACAAGGCATAAGCCACATATTCAAATTCCCCATGCATAGCTAAGCACTTGATATTGCTTGTCCACCCAAAAAATATCAGACCTTTGCCGCCATTAACAAGCTTCCTCCCTATGAAATCACATTCCCCCAACACACAGAGCCCAAACTAGGCATGCGCATGGAGAAATGGGGCAATCAGAGATGGAGAGATTCAACTCAACAACCCAACATCTCCAGAAGAAAAGAAAACAATCTCACATCATCCCAAAGGTCACTGAATGAGACATGATCACCAAACGTCGATTCCGCTTCCATCACCATAGACCATTCAAGTATGTATTTCATTACACCATTTGCCCGCAAAGCGTGCTGAATCATTACCCCAACCCCTATTATCCAACTAATTAGCCATCCTAATAGCTAAAAGGGGGCCAAAATCAAGAAATTGGATACCCCCAAGAAGAACCCTAACCCTAGGCGGCCCCTCTTTTCTCTTTTGACTCTCATCCCACGTTCACTAAGCCTACTATGCACCACATGGAAGAACATGGAAAACCACACAACCTACCCCATTCTTTAACACAAATACATAGGTTGGTAGGAAAAAAAAAAGGAAGAATTGTTTAATGAAAGTGGATTATGTGTGGATGTTTGAACAAATACATTTATGGAGTTTTGGGGTGAATTTTGATGTATATAATTTTCTTTTTATTGTTTTAACAGTTGAATTTATTTTTTGGTTGTTAGATCTTCTTTTTACCGTTAAATTTGCTCATATTCGATTTCACCTATTGGATTTAATGCATTTATAAATTTGACTTAAAAAAATTGAATTGGAACCATTGGTTGAATCAACAGTCCAACCACGTGGGCCGTTTGATAAAAAAAATAGTCGTTTGTCTTTTTTTAAGTGACGAACAATGTGAGCAACTTGATCCGAGCACTGGGTCCTAGCACTAGCCACTAGCCACTAGCCATAACTCATTGAATAAGCTTTGAGCGAGTTTAAAACTTAAATTTTGAGTTTTAATCAACCAACCATTGGAGTTAGTCTTAAGCCTTAATTCCTTTCCCTCTGGTTGGATTTTGTGACAGTTTCCTTTTTCTCGTTAGAATTTTTGTGACGGTTTTATTGCTGAAAAGAGAAAAACAATAAAAATAAAAATAAAATTAGGAAAAAAAGGAAAGAGACAGGGAGCTCCGAAGTCCCAACGGTTTTTCTCAGAGCTTCTAAACACACACGTCCGTTGCCCACACGCACAAACTTCACAACTTCAAGCGTTTTAGAGAGAGAAAGTGAGGGAGAGGGTTTGAGTAATTGGCGAATTCTGGTTTAGGGTGCAGCAGCAGCAGCAGACATGGAGAGCAAAGTGGATGAAGTTTCTGTTGAGCTCTCAGCTCCTCCTGCTTGGAAGAAGAAGGTCTCTCTCCTCTCCCCCCCCCCCTCTCCCTTTTCACTCACTCAAATTTTATTTTTAGCTGTATTTGATTGCTGTATTCTTTTGTTGCAGCTCTGTTTTGCTTCGAATTTTAGGGTTCTTGCTCTGGTTCTGCTTAATTTGCTTCAATTTTTCGCTTTAGTCACAATTTGTTTTGAATTGCTAGGTTTTCAAAGTTAGGTTTTCACTTTTGCATTTGAAATTTTAATTCATGGAAGTAAAATTTGTGTGCCAAATAAGGGAAGTAACTTTAATTGTTAAGATTTCCTTTTAAGTGCTCTGCTTTCAATTTGGTCTGTGCTGATTGTTGTTGTATACTTTTGCTCTTGTTAGGGTAAATTAGTAATTAATTTTGGTGAGTACCCACAAATTGTATGTTCAAATATAGGAATTAGGAATATTTAACTTTATCCTGTAAGATGAAGGAATGTTTTTGTTGGCAGTTTGTGGGATTCTCTGTTAATACGTTGGAAAGCTTACTCTTGTAAAAGTAAAAATCAAGCGTTTCCGTATTAAGGCAATGTAACTCTGTAAGTTTAGTTCACTAATCTAAAAAACTTGGAGAAGCTGAATATTATTAGCTGCAAATAGATCCTGGCAGTTTCCTTCACTGTTGCAACTTGCTAGAGGTGATCCAGAACTTAAGATTTGTTAGTTCTTCGCATGACGAAGCAACCCGTTTTAGGGAAATTATCCAAAAACCACTTATCCTTGAAACTATAAACTTTTCTTCAAAAATTGAGACCCAACTGATATTGCTGAACTCAAGAATCTTCTTCAAAATTTGCACCCCCGGTGATTCCATTTATATCGATAGGTGCTGTAAAAGTTTGCAAAAGGAATTTTTTAACTGTTTTCTGCTTCGACGGGTTCCTTTTGTTATTTTTTTTGGTAGATTTGATTCCACTTGGTCATAACTGATCTGTCAATCTGTTAATTGTCCGCCGTTAATGAATATACTCATGAGGTAATCTTATCACATCAAATCTTGTTCATTTACACTTGGCTCACTTAAGTCATGAATGCATTTCCACATGTCTGTTTTTTTCTTTGCCATTCTTGTCTATGATGTACAATGATCATATATGGAAATAATTTGTAGCCGCCCTTTGTAGAAACCACTTCAAAACCTACAAACCTAATGTTGCACTGTCACATAGGTTATACAACTTTTTGTATACTTTTCTGTACTCTGGGTTACTTAACAGCCAGGTCAGATAGAACGTGGTCAGATAGAATTTTTATGAGGAATCCCATTTTATTAGTGCACTAATTTGCTTTCTCAGTTGTATACTACACTAACTTCAGAAACAGTTTTGATGAGGACTCCCACCTAGGAGCCCTAGCTAGCAGCTTTACCTTAACCTAATATCTGCCTTGGGTTACAATTGCTTCCATTAAATTTGTATTATTTGACATTTGATGTATGGCCTTTAGGTTGTGGACATGAAGTTTGTCTATCAATGTTTAGTGAACCACCAATACTTGATGATTTGGGTCCTAGAGAAATAGATTGTGTACCCTTTGTGTATATCAAAACTTGATTTAAAATCAATATTCATATAGTATGTTTTAAAGGCAATATTCAGTAAGTCAAGGTGGTTAAGTGGGGACAATATTGGTGCTTGGCAGCCTTAGTAGTGGACTCTTATGGAGCCCGTGACACATCAATTGGTATCAGAGCCTAGTTTGGCTTTGGGGCAAGTTCAAGGTGGAAGGCACGTGGTCAGATTTTGTTACACGGTGGCAGCTCATTACTCTTGGAGGACCGGCGGAAAAGGGTGGAGCATGGCTAGTAAAGCAGGGCTCAGGAAATCCTAGTCTGCAAGGAGCTAGGTGGAGCAAGGGCTCCTAGCGGGCCTAAAAGAACAGTCCTTGTCAAAGGAGGTAGAGTTGCTGGGACTGGTGCGGCGAGTATACCATTCTTGGAAACGTGTGGGCTGTTGTAAAGGATGGCGTTACCTTGGCTTGCTCTCGCCAAGGTGGAGATTGTTGGTGTAAAAGATTGGCTCAATACAAGCCAAGATGGATGTGAAGAGAATCCCATATCAGAGAAGTACAACAATATTCTAAAGGTTTAAATATAGGTGTTCCACTTCTAATTTGCTGAGGTCTTTTGAGATAAAACTCCACACCTAAGGTCCATTGGGCTTGATACCACCCAGGGGATTGGGCCTAGGTGGTTAAGTGGAGACAATATCGGTGCATGGTAGCCTCAGTAGTGGATACTTATGGAGCCCGTGACACAACACTAAGGACAAGGAACTGGGTAATATTAACATGGGGCAGAAGGTTTCCAGATCAGGAAATTCTGTTTTTTTTTCTCTTTGGGTGGCCAACCATATATTTTCATTAAGATTTGAGATCTATAATAGGCAAACCTCTGTTACATTCTAACCATCTGGCAAAGAGTATTTTCTGATTGGAATTTGTGTTGGCTATATGCAATAGTGCTTACACCCAACACTGACCTTTTAAAATAGGAATATCATCTGGAATACCACTTATATTATTTAAGATATTAGGAAATGTGTTCGGTTGAATTTTTTTTCTTTTGGGTTAGAAAACGGGCACAAAGCCCAAACAACCACAACACAAAAGAAAAACTTAATTCCAGTGCTAGAATAAACAGCTCTTGGCCAAGACACTCCAACTAAATCATCCAAAACAGAAACAGAAACTTCAGGAGGAGGATCCTTAAAGAAAGAACAACCCAGTGTTTTAAGTTGAATTTGAAATGAATAATGTTTTGATGTTCTGATATTTCCTATTCTTTTCTTTCCTTTATACATTTTCAATATTTACTTTACACTAGATAAAGTGTTGACTGTATAGGAGACAGTATAGGAAACAAATGTTTACACTGACAATGAGTATATACATTATACACGTACATTTATATATATATATATGTATATGTATATGTATGTTTATACAGATATATATATATATATATATATATATATATATATATATATATATCTGTGTGTGTGTGTGTGTAAAATTGTTTGGGGAATACAAAAATGAATGGTTTTCAGTTTATTAACGTTGTTATCCTATACACTGCATGCTTTATCATCATTGTTCTAGTTCTTATGATCTCAGAACTTCCCCCATATGTTTATCCTTGTCACTCTTGAAAGTATAAAAAATACATGTGCAAGGAAGAAAGGATTTAGTGAGCCGAGATCACTAACTAATACAAATCTAATACTAATGAAAATGCTATTATAATAGAAAAGAACTGTCTTTTCTGTATACTCAAACTAATCCAAACCTAAAATGGCTATGAAGTCTTAAAACATAGAGAAGAAAGATGCACATAACCTTTGAAATTGTTGGAAGTTTATCCCGGTAAAGTTTGCAGACAACCTACTCAAAACAGCTTGTGAAAATTGAATGATATTCTGGTGACAGAGATGATGTTCTGTGCTTTCTGCAGAACTATTTGCCTAGCTTTATCTCAATGTATGTGTTTCAAAATAAAGGGTGTGTGCTTCTCTAAATCCCCTAATATGGTCCGTGCAAATATTGTTTGTAATAACAAGGACGTTTAGATAAATTAAGTCCATGTGGTTATTGTACATAATTCTCGGATCTGGTTTTCAACAATTTTCTCTTTGTTCTGCAGTTTTGTCCCAAGAAGGGAGGCACACCATGGAAAAATGAAATCATATTCATTTCTCCAACAGGAGAGGAGATTAATAATAAAAAACAATTGGAGCAATACCTAAAAGAACATCCTGGTAACCCTGCAATATCAGAGTTTGATTGGAGCACTGGTGAAACCCCTAGGAGATCAGCTAGGATCAGTGAAAAGGTCAAGATGGCTCCATCACCAGAGAGTGAGCCTCCGAAAAAGAGAGGCCAAAAATCATCAGGTTCAAAGGACAAAGTGGAAGCTGCTGGAGGAGAAGCTGATGCTACAAATGAAATTCAAATGAAAGATGCAGAAGTAGATGAGAAGAAAGATGGAGGAAAAACTGAGGAAGAAACTGACCAGACTAAACCAGAGGATGGTAATGATAAGACCCCGACTGATGCTAAGGAAACTCTAGGTGAGGAGACAAAGGAAGATGTAGTAGAGGAAAACCCCAGAGAGGAAGCAGCTAAAAACAACAAAGAAGATGTACCACAAGCTGAGGGAGAACAAGCAAATGGAACTAATGACAACAAACAGGATGACACAGCTACTGTGACTGTTGAAGCAAATGGGGCAGCAGAGAAAGAGAATCTGTATGGAGCCGCACCTCCTATGGACGGAGAGATCAAAATGAAACACGATGCAGCAGAGAATGATGGGAAATGCAATGCTCAAGCTGAAGAAAAAATCAAGCCCAAGGACGGGGAGGTTGTTGAAAATGGTAAGGTTGAGCAAGGGGCGCAAGCTGATGCCCCACAACAATTGAGCAGCTGAACATACTCTACCACCTTTCTTGTGAGCTGTTGAATGTTATGTACTACCATTTATCGCAGTTGGGATTCTGTTAGATCCATTGAACTTTGTTTTGCCCCCTTTGTTCCAAAGACTCCAGGAGTTATGGATGATTGTGATGTTAATATTGTAATGTGAGACTTAACTGTATCTAGGGAACCTACCGGTCTGGTAGAATAGGTTGTACTTGTAGATTCTGCAACTATGGTTATGGAGTAGCTTAGATTGTAGAACGTAAGAGGTCCATATTGGACCGGTTGCTTTTTATTCGTCGTAGATGGTGACTTGGTACATTTTGTTTTTTAATTTGTTACTTTAGTAATGTGACTAAAGTTTTATTCATCTTGTGCTGCTTGTGTTCTGAAAATTGAAAATGTTCGGCCGCTGGAGCTTTTGTTTGAGGGGTGCTGTTTTCAGCTGTTTCCATATTTTGGAACGGAATTTTATTTTCGCAATTTTTTATATAAAAAGGGGAGGGAAGATTGGGTACTAGATTTTGCAGTTTTGCTCTGCTCTGCAGTTTGTAGGGGTTAGGTGAGAGCCACATTCACCCTAAACTGGATATAGTACAAGTTTATGCAATCGCATAAGGAGGGCAGAGCTGTTCCTATCTTTCTCTCCCCTCAGGTTTGAAAATTGTTGTACCAAAACGAAGCCTCAATTTGCAATTGCTTTTCCTATCGTTGTTTCACTCGACATCTCCAATTTGGGGAAGTGTTTCTTACTATTTTTTCCTTCATTCACGCTCATATTTGTTTATGGCCTTAAATTTGAATAATTTATAAGAAAAAAAAAGGTCGTAACCAGTGCACAAGGCTCCCGCTTTACGCAGGATCTGGGAGAGGTGGATGTCGGCTAGCCTTACCCCCATTTATGGAGAGGCTGCTCCCAATATAAGGTTATTCTCAATATAAGGTTATTCTCCTTAAATCTGAATAATTTATAAGAAAATCGAAGGAAAAATATACACGGTGTGGAAAAGGAGAATAAATTTCATTTTCTCAATATAAGGTTATTCTCCTTTCCCAAGAAAGGTACTATCATCCATCCCAAAGAAAGAGCCTTTAGAGGAGGACACAAAAGCACTCCTATGGAAACAAGACGAGAAAGTGGAAAAGGTATACTTTGAATTTGAGATAGACAGTTTAAAACTCCAGAGAGAGAGAGAGAGAGAGAGAGAGAGAGAGAGAGGGGGGGGGGGGGGGACGGGGAATCTCTTGTATGCCCTTCCCCAAAAAACATTTGTCACCTTTGTATTAAAAATAAAGTTAGGAATCTAGGTATTCTTGTTCACAAGAATCACAACAATCTCATGACTCGGGGAAGGCTAAGAATCTTGGATGTTAGGGATGCCTGAAGCAAAAGTATTGCATCATCCAAAGGATCGCTTACGGCGGTTTCTCGGCCGAGGTTCCAAAACATTCCTTTTCTACAAATGGAATGCTCTTTCATTGTTGATTGATCACCGAGAATTCAATGGACCTCTCTTTCCTCTGCCTCCTCCTACTCTTCTCAACCGCTGCATTTGTCAATGGTAATTTCTTCGACTCTTAAGTTCTTTGAGTTTCAGAAACATGTTCCTCATGCTATATCAAACTCTTTTTATCATAAGTGCTTCAACAATTAGTCTTTTACATGTTAATTTTGAAATTTATGTTCTTCATATTATATTGCCTTCCAACCTCTCTATTCATTCAGCTGGCTAATTAATTTTTCTGTCTTTGTATTTAGTTGATGCCTCTTTTACCGGAACATATGGAGTAAACTATGGCAGGATCGCCGACAATATACCTTCGCCTCACAGCGTGGTGACGCTTCTTAAAGCGGCAAAGATAAAAAACATCAGGATATATGACGCTGATCATGAAGTTCTCACCGCCTTCAAGGGATCAGGTATAGAAATAATTGTAGGACTGGGAAATGAGTTCCTCAAAGACATCAGTGTGAACGAGGATCGCGCCACAAATTGGATAAAAGAAAATGTGCAGCCATACATTCCGGGGACTCACATTTCAGGAATAGCAGTGGGGAATGAGATCTTGGGGGGAACTGATATAGAGCTCTCAGAGGTCTTATTGCCTGCCGTAAAGAACGTTTACAATGCGCTTAGCCGGCTTGATTTGGCTAACTCCATTCAGGTCTCGAGTCCACATTCGGAGGCTGTGTTTGCAAATTCCTACCCACCATCGGCCTGCATTTTCAAGGAAGATGTTGCTCAATTCATGAAGCCGCTTTTGGAATTTTTCTCACAGATCAAATCCCCATTTTATATAAATGCATATCCATTTCTGGCATATAAGAGTGACCCTGAGCACATTGACCTTAACTATGCTCTCTTCAAGAAAAATGCCGGGATTCGTGATACAAAAACCAATCTACATTATGACAACATGTTTGATGCAATGGTTGATGCGTCGTATTTTGCTCTGGAGAAGGCTGGATTTGACAAGACAGAGGTCATAGTTTCCGAAACTGGTTGGGCGTCTCGCGGGGATGAAAGTGAAGCAGGAGCCAACGCCAAAAATGCCAGGACTTACAACTACAACCTGCGGAAACGGCTGACGAAGAAGAAGGGGACGCCTCATAGGCCAAAGACGGTTGTGAGAGCTTACATTTTTGCTTTGTTCAACGAGAATTTGAAACCGGGGCCGACTTCCGAGAGGAATTTCGGATTGTTCAAAGCTGATGGGAGCATTTCATACGACATTGGCTTCACTGGACTTGTTGGACCTTCTGCAGCATCCTCATCTCTTCGTAACTACAAAGTATGAGTTTCAAAACTACTCATTAATTGAAGTGTTATTTTTTATTTTATTTTGTTTCTCATTTATCTTAACTTTGGTTTATATTTTCAGGTTTTCACAAGTTGTGCAGCTCTTCTGCTACTATTGTTAGCATCATAATGTCTTTGACGATTAACACATATTGTTGCAACATGATCTCGATGTATAGACAATTCGATTATTTTTACGTTATGATTCCGTTGTCAAGTTAGATACCAGCCAATATTGCTGACGGTTTTCTAATAATATTCTAGCAGTTTACAATTCCTTGTCTCTCTTTTCTTTTCTTACCTAAAATAACGAAATTGATTGGAAATTTCAAAAAACTTGACTGCATTGGTACATGGCATCATGACTTGGTAAATCCATATCTCGCGATGACCAATAAAAAGGTCGTACCCAGTGCACAAGGCTCCCGCTTTACGCAGGGTCTGGGAGAGGTGAATGTCGGTTAGCCTTACCCCCATTTATGGAGAGGCTGCTCCCAAGTCTCGAACCCGAGACCTACCGCTTATGGGCGAAGGCACTTGCCATCGCACCAAGTCTCGCGACGACCAATACTACCATAAATTACTATTTTCTGACGAAACAAATTTCGTCAAGTAACTTTACTTGACGGAGTAAAACATTTTGTTGGACAAAATTGGTCAACATTTTGGTTTTTTTTTTTAGAGACTTTAGTTGACAAAAAAAAATTCAACGAGCAGAGTGAACTTTGTCGGGCAAAGATGTCGTGCCAAGGAAAAAAAATTGGCGCATATTATGCCACCTCTCTTCCTCCCCTTGTTTCTCTCCTATCTCTCTGCAAAGTCATCTCCCTGTCTGTAAACTCCCATCCCCCTCTTAGCTCTCTCTCACTCGCCACCTCTGCTCTTTATTTCTCTCGCCCTCTCTCTCACTCACCATCTATGCTCTCTTTGACTGTTATATTAGGAATTTTTTTCTATGAATTGATTCGATTTATATGTGAAATGTTGTGAATATTTGTGAATTTGTACAGGGAAGGGGGTGGGTTTGATGGTTGGGCACGTTGGGTGGGCTGGGCTTGGGTGGGCTTGATAAGTTGTTTTTCTAATTTTTTTATGAAATATTATAGTTTTTAGGTTGTCTAGAATTATTAGGAAATTTTAGATATATTAGAAATTTTAGAAATAGTATAAATGTTTAAGAGATATTAGATGTGGGGCCATGATTTTCCAATGTTAAAGTAAAGCTAATTGGAATAGAGTTACCTCAGAAGTCAGGTCATGTACTTAACGGATCCGAGCGAGCTGTATCAGATGGAATAGCGATGCTACCATCACCTTGTTCTGGGAAAACGAATTCCAAAGTGATTCTACTGGATGACCATGCTTGTTCCGTAAGACACGGGACTTGATCTGGATAAGGACATAATCAGATTCCTCACAAGTCTTAAAGTTCCTACAATCTAGGAATTGGCATGCACTGAAAGTAGATACACTCCTAAGAGGATACAATATCTAGTCCTATATATCTTCTAGGATTCTTCTGGTTTAGTACAAGGATTTTATCCTAAAAAGGTCTCTTTCTAGGTCAATATAAATACGCTCATCTAAATTCATCTTTTGTAACTCATTCTTAACACCCTTATTCTCTTGCCCACTACTCGAGTCTAAAATTGTTTACTAACTTGATCGTCGGATAGCCTTTGACCGGCACACCCACTTCGGTCTTGAGCTTACTCATAGATGTTTCTTGTTTTGCAAGTTACCTTAATCTGTGCCTATATTGATGTGAAAATTACTTGACACACAAATTAAACCCTATTGTTGACAATTGTAGCAAAGATGTAAGTAAGGATCGTTCTAGACCGGGGATTAACTAGGGCTGCTAATCTACACAAATAATGTCATAACCCGTCCCGGAATTTCATATTCGTTGATATGAAATGACGGAATTGCCCTTAATGGTTGCTAAGGTACGTGTGACATGTCAATTGTTAAATGTATACTCTCCTTATATTCTTGGAAAAATTTAAATAGATTAAAATGGTATTCAATTTGTGTGGCTAGGGACTTAAGAATTGGGATTGTGATTGTTTTGGATGGACCACACACATACGGGACAACCATTCATCCCGTGCTCTCTCTCTCTTCCCTCTCAGTTTCTCTCTCTCTCTCTCTTCCTCTCGAAATCGTACGGACACATCCACCCACGATCATCCAAGCACGGATCGAAGGTTTCAAGGGCACCATTGTACTCGTGAGGACCCTATGAACTCACCCATACCCATTTCAGGACAATCCAAGCTCATAGTGAGCTTTAGGTGAAGGAATATTTTGTGAAAACATGTTCATTTAAGCAACATCAATAAGCATGCAATTAACAATTAAAGGCGGAACCATGCTTGCATGCACTTAAAAACAAAACATTAACCATGAATTCAAAGCCTAGTAGATTGGTGAACCATTAATCAACTCAAAACAAAGTGAGTTCAAATTTATACCTTTGTAGATTCCTCTTTGCATAAGCAAAGGCTAATCACCCAAAGAGAGGGCCTTCATTCCTTGCATCTTAAATCTATGGATTTGGATAGATGAA